CTCCAACATCAACATTCAAAGCCACCAACATTCTTTCTATCCTGTTTCTTCAAAGTCCGTTTTGGACATAGAGTATCTCAGGGAAAACCATTGCCTGCATGATTATGAACTTTGCACTAGAGATGCAGGTAGATCCCAGCATCTGGATACCTTTTCCATTCACTGCAACCCTATCAAGAGTTAGTGTGCAGCACATTTCTTCACTTCTGCTTCCTTTACTGTTGATAGTGGATCCTAAGAGTCAGAAGCTAATCACCATTCCAATATTTTCATCGTGGGGGCTCAGGCTAGTTACTATACCTATTGTCATTTATTTGGTCTTCCAAATTAGGATGTTACAAAAGTATAGATGCTATTTCAAAGAAGATGGTGCTTCTGGATCCCAACAGTTAGAGTTCTTTGATCTATGGGATCTGCAGTAAGCCCTCTCTACCGGCACAAGTGGGGTGGGATTATCCTAGTGGGACAAGTCATTTCATCAGGTAGCCTGGATCTATGCCATTAAGGGCTCTAAAGATCATAAGCAACACTTTGAACAGCACTCGGACAGACCGGTAGCCAGTGTAGTTCGCAGAGCAGAGGTCTAATATGGGCCATTTGCTACAGCATTTTGAACCAGCTAAAGTGTCCAAATGAATTTTGGGGATAGCCCCATATACAGTGCATTGCAATAGTCCAGACAACAGATTACTAGGACTTGAGTAATTGAAGCACAAGGAATCAAGATCCAGGAAGGGTCATGTGATGGCCCCACTGTCCACTGTTTCAGATGATGATGATGAGCTGGAATTGGGACCATCAGACGGATCCTCAGCAGCTGAGGAGGACCCAGTCCCAAGCCAGTTTGACAGCAGGAGGAATGGTCAACCAGATGGACAGCAACCTGCAGAAGCAAAAGAAGGGGAAGCTCGGCTGCCGCTGGTTAGCACAGTGGAGCAACAACAGGATGCCTTCAGTGAGAAATAGTTGCTGCCCCCACCCAAACCATGGACATGCAGAGCGGAGCAAAGGAAGTACAGAGGAGATTGGTGAGGTTATGTATGAGGAAGCAGCCTTGACCCTCCTAATGAAAAACACCAAGCTTGGGGTTATTTAACCAGGTGTGGGGAAAGGTGTGGTTGTCAGAGATTTTGGTTTCATGAACTTTGAACCTTGGTTCGTGGATGTCAGACTTTACTTAGGCTTGGTGGACTTCGGACCTTGTTTCATGGACGTCAGACCAGGGGTAAAATTCAAAATTTTTCCCTACCAGTTCTGTGGGCATGGCTTGGTGGGCATGGCAGGGGAAGAATATTGCAAAATCTCCATTCCCACCCCACTCTGGGCCCAGCCAGAGATGGTATTTGCCAGTTCTCCGAACTACTCAAAATTTCCGCTGCTGGTTCTCCAGAACCTGTTAGAACCTGCTGGATTTCACTCCTGCATCAGACCTTGATCTTGCCATGTCAATTTCCAACCTGCTCTGTGGACCTCAGACTTGTTCTTGCTTTGCGGATTGTGGACCTTGCTCTTATGGATATCAGTCCTTGTCCTTGGGACTTACCCTTGGGGAAATTGTGGCTGGACTTTGGAAAGGTTTGTGGACTTTCAGGTTGCTTTGCAGAGTGTTGGAGAACTGCTTGATTCAGTTGTATAGTTGTGCCATAAACATACTATTCTAGCACCTGCTCCCATTTGCGTGACTTGGGTCAGAACAGGTCACGCTGGTGCACAAATTGAAACTGTGCAAAGGCTCTCCTAGTCACGCCCACTGCCTGCTCTTTCAGCAAGTCGTGAGTCCAAGAGAACTCCTAAGTTGAGAACTGGACCTGAACAGGGTAGTGCAATCCCATCCAGAACTAAGGATGACAGAAACTCAGATTTTGAGGCTCCATGCACCTAAAGGCATTCATTCTTAGCTGAGGGAGCCAGCAGTGTCCAAAGACATTTCCATGATCATATGGCCAGCATGACTATATGCTGAGATGCACAGAATGCTGTTACCTTCCCACCAAAATAGTACACCAAAGTCACATTTATATTCCCTCGGGAGTTGGGCGGCATAAAAATGCGACTAATAAATAAATAAATAAATTCTTTAGAACTGCTTGGTGGGTAGGAGCTGGGGCAAGGAAGGGGAGCTCACCCTGTTGAACAACACTCAGGTCTCAAACCCAGGCAGTCAGCTTTCCAATAGTCAAGCTCAGCATCTTTAACCATCGAATCATCATGCCCTCCCCCATGTGTGATGTGTGTGTGTGTGCGCACATACATACAGGAGTGAAATGCTCCCAGTTCGGACCGGCTAGGGTGAGTAGGTAGCGATGGAGGCAGGCAGTTCAGAGAACCGGTAGCAAAAATCCCTGCCCTCACCCCCCATGCCCAGCTGAGCCGCACGATCATCAGAGCCTTTTTTTTCTTTTAAATGGCTCTGACCAGGCAAGCTCTGACAATCCCAGCTGAGTTGCCTGCTAATCAGGCAACTCAGCTTGGATCGCCAAAGCCATGTAAAAGAAAAAACCTTTTTTCCTTTTAAATGGCTCTGACGGTAGCAAAAATCCCTCCCCCTCCCCCCCCCTCAGCTTGCTTACCTTAGCTGCTGGTCGCAACACCTTGCTGTAATCCCTGCAATCCATTGCATCAGCAAGCAACTGAATCTCCCTGCCTGCAATCAAGCAGGCAGGGAGTTGTGGACTTCAACTCCCAGAATTCCTCAGCCAGCAAAGCAAAGCTGGCTGAGGAATTCTGGGAGTTGAAGTCTACAAGTCTTAAAGTTGCCAAGGTTGGAGACCCCTGTTCTATTGGGTAAGTTTTTTTCCCCTTTGGGAGCTTTAAAAAAATAGTTAATTGGAGTTTTTTTTAGTTGTTCTTTTTTTTTAGACCTAGCCATTTAAAGTTTAGGAAGTTTTAAATTTAGCTGCTTTTATATAAAAATAAAAATAAAATAAAATAAAATAAAATTTGTGCAGCTTTCTGAGATTTAGTGTGTTTCTGTAGTGTTTCACTCTAACTACACAAACACACAAAATCTCACAAAGCTGTATGTGGAATTTTGTGTGTGTAAAGTGTGAAAGTTGTTTTTTGGGGCTTTTTGTGGCTGTGTGAGGTTCCTGCTTGTTGTAGGGGCCATTTTGAGTCTAGTACAACTGCTTTTACATTGTGGGTGAGCCAGTTGTGTTGTGTTGTGTTGTGTTGTGTGTGTGTAAAGTGTGAAAGTTGTTTTTTTGGGCTTTTTGTGGCTATGTGAGGTTCCTGCTTGTTGCAGGGGCCATTTTGGGTCTAGCTCAGCTGCTTTTAAATTCTGGGTGAGCCAGTTGTGTTGTGTTGTGTTTTGTAGGTTAAAAAAGGGCAAAGAAGTGACGCCCACCTAACCAATAAGCCACGCCCTCCCAGTCACCTTACCACCAAGCAACACCCACTAATTAAGCCACGCCCACAGAACCGCTAGCAAAAAATTTAGATTTCACCCCTGATACATACATACGTACATACATATATACATTGTGTATTTTTGTAAAATGTTACATTTTTCCTTTCATAATAAAGGGAATCTGGGAATTAAACCTCAAATTCTGCAAAATGGCCAGTTTTTACCCTCAAATTGTATCCAATAGCTATTTGTCCAGTCTCCACTTTCAGCCTTAAGGAAGATATTCAACAATTTCTGTGCACAGTCTGCTCCATCATTGCTTAGTTCCCAGATTTTAAATATGAAAACTTAAGGTGTAAAGGCAACTTTCCAAAGTGGGACCTCTAAATGTATTAAAACTGCAACTACTGAATTTGTTAAGAATTTCCAAAGAGTTAATAGCTTGATGTGGAAATTCTGGAAAAGAAAAGAAAAGAAAAGGAAAGGAAAGAAAAGAAAAAAAAGAAAAGAAAAGAAAAGAAAGAGAGAGAAAGAGAGGGAGGGAGAGAGAGAAAGAGAGAGAGAGAAAGAAAGTAGACTGTTCTATGAAACTATGCTATTATTCCAGCACACAATTTTATTTATTTCATATATTTTATTTATAATTAAATGTACCTCACATTATTTATATAAACTCTCATGGTCGCTTACAATAGTTTAAAAAAAACTTACTACATATTGTATTAAGATTAGCCATTTAAATCACTATCAGTAACAATTAACAATTAATTATTAATTAAATTAATTGTTAATTGAATTAACAATTCAAGACTTAATAAAAGGGATAATTTTTGCTACTTTTTAAAATATTGTTTTTATTTATTCAATATATATAGCAATCCATCTCACATTTGGGTGGCTTACAAGTAAAACATAAAAAATACAAAAAAAAAAAAAAAACAGCCATGCAACCAATGCATATGTTAAACATCATTAAACAATTAAAAACAGTACAGTAGAAATGTTGGGAGTGTGAGGGAGAGATGTATCTCTTTGGGCATTGCATTCTACAGCTAGAAGCCATGCAAGTTTCTAGTTGTGGGGGCTTCCTCAAAAAGATCGGCGGATCCAGGTCATTGGGCAAGTACTTAGCAGAAAAAGTAACCCACACCAAGTGCAAATTTTGATGTTTGCCAAGAGTAAAGCTTATAATACAATGCAACAGTCAATATGTGTTATATCCAGGAGTGGGCTGCTGGGGGTTTGCAGGGGTTCGGGAGAACCTCTAGCTCAGATTCTGTGCAGTTTGGAGAACCCCCAAATCCCACTCCTGGCTGGCCCAACCCGCCCCACCCTTCCCAGGAATCCCCACACAGCCCATTTTGGATGCAAGTAAGTTCAGGGCGCATGTCGAGGCTCAAGGAGGGTGAAAAATCGGCCTACCAGAAGTTTGGGAAGTTCAGAGGGCCTCCGGAGCCTGGGGAGGCCGTTTTCACCCTCCTGGTGGCTCAAGGAAAGCCTCTGGAGCCCAGGGAGGGCAAAAACACACACACACACCCCGTGGTGCAGGAGGCCGACTAGGCCATGACCACCATGGCCATGATCACCCAGCAACCGGGCAGAGAACCCCTCGCTAAAATTTTTGAAGCCCACCCCTGGTTGTATCCAATAGGTGTTTTTTTTTTTTAATTTGATTTATATGCCGCCCTTCTCCGGAGACTCAGGGCGGCTTACAATGCGTTAAGCAATAGCCTTCATACTTTTGTATATTTATACAAAGTCAGCTTATTGCCCCCACAAACTGGGTCCTCTTTTAACCTACCTTAGAAAGGATGGAAGGCTGAGTCCACCTTGAGCCTGGTGAGATTCGAACTTACAGTAATTGCAGACAGCTGAATGTTAATAACAGGCTATCAGTCTGCTGCGCCACCAGGCTCTTAATGTATCTATAAATTTTATTAGGTCCATCTGGCTGAAGAAGGGTCACAGATGGCACAGTAGCTGTGACTGTGTGAACATGTTTCTCATCACAACTGCCAACTACAAATCCAGATGAATTGGGGATCAGTGAGCATCTGCAAACTGCAAAGCTGCTTTTTCTGGGGGAATACAATCCCATCACATTGACAGACTTCAAGTCCAATATATTCTTTGCTATACCTCTGTTTTGTCCAAATTTCATTCCTTCTTAGGACTCCTCCATCCAACCCATTATCAGAATGAAGCAACGTTGAAAGATGGTGTTTGCTTCCTTGGAATCAGCTAATAACAAAGTAAAGATTTTTAAAACAAATTAATTTTATGCTAGATAAAATTGAAAAAGATGAAACAAAATAAGGCTTAAACCAAGCTTCTGCATTGTAAATGTTCAAGCAGTTATTTGTCTTTTCAAACGTAGGGGTCAGCCAAAAACAACTTCTGCATAAAAAGACAAACATGTGACATGTATTGAACTAAGCAGTTTCATACTGGAAAATCTACCGATTTTGCTAATTTGAAGCAGTTTGTAAAGGATAGATGAGCCAAAATTCCAACTCCATGCTGTGAAAGAAATTAAAGGAAGTGTTTGGCTGCAATTATTGCAATTCAAGATGATGCAACCAACCCAGGGGTGGGTTCTACTTACCTTTACTACCAGTTCGCATCGTGCCCGCACACACAGATCAACTTTGATGATGTCCGGGTCAGTGGGTGGAGTCTCCCGATGGTTTTACTACCGGTTCTTGCAAACCAGTCTGAACCGGGGGCAACCCACCACTGAACCTGGCACTGAATTAAGGATAGCAAGTACATTTTCATGCAGATACACTGGATGTGGTAGGACTGTCTTTATGAAAGAAATGAAACAGGAATCAGACTTTTTATAGATCACTAGCAAAAGACCCACATCAACCTTCAAGAGCTTTGATGGAAAAGAGATGAAAAATATCAGAAAAGCCCCCAAAAAGTGAATAATTTTTCATAAGGTGCATTTGCAAGAAATACAAATTAGTGAAAGTACATTCCCAGGTAGAAAGAAGTCCAAGTGACATTCACCCAGCTTTGGACATTTCCTGTCTCTTCTCCTTCCCCTCACAAGAAATAGAATAAAGATTCTTCTTTATTCCATGTCACAGTAGAAGATTTCTGCTTGTTTTACATTGTAGGAAGTTAGCCCACTCCTCTCCTAGAAAAATGAAACATTCTAGGAAATATTAAAAAGGCAGAATATTGTATTTTCCCTAAAGGAAAAACATGTTTCTAAAGACATAAACTCAGGGCCTCAGCTCCCTGTGCCCAGCAGATATTTTGGTGTCAACCTATCTACAAGACAAAGGCTGGGTCAGCCTATCTACAACACAAAAGACATGGCCCTCAGGACATGATAGGATTAGCCCTCACTCAAGATCCAAACCAGGACAAAGCCATTAAGCCATAATAGGAATTGCCCAAAGCCCATTCATTACATCATCACCCAGCAAGATTCAACCAAGCTTGACTCAGAAAACCTACAAGGTTAGTTATGACCCCTACAGCAGCCAATAGCTTGCCACAGGAACAGGAAGCTCTAAGGCGGGGCCCAAGAAAGAGTATAAATCTCTCTCACACATACCCATGTCTCTTTCTGCCCAGGACCCAAAAAACTCATGTGGTCCTGTCCACCATTAAACCATCTATCCAAGCAGTCCCCATGTTTCCAGTGTCTTTCTCCCCACTTGGAACTGAACCCAGATGGACATTTCTTCCAACAACGTGAATCAAGAAAGTATGATTTAAAACAAACTCCAGCATTTGCTCACCTCTTAAAAACATAGCTTATTGTCAGTAACCTTAACATATGGTTGTGTTTTACATATGAATGCTAAAAGCCTTTGAATCAGGAATCATTTTATGAATCAGAGAAGTCTTCTTTCACTTACAGGCGAATTGTTTTCCTTATTACTCTGATTAATGTCATAATCTTAGGCAGGGTCACCATTACTGAACATATTAGCAAGGACTGCACATTTATGAGGAGAGTCAATAAAGTTTCTTAAGGAGTTTGGTCTGATAATGTCTGTGATAGAGTAACCATTTTAAGACAGGAGTGGACACTGACCCCCTTGCTCTTGGCCTTCTGGAAATCACGGATGATTGAAATATTCCAGAGGGCAATGGGGGAGCATGATTAAACAATCTGGTTAAAGTTCTTAGATCACATTTTATTTTCATTTTTCTCTTTTCTCTGCCTGTTTCGTTTGATGACCCCAAGTGCCGGGAATCACCAAAAATTGTAAGGGCAGAAAAAGATGGTCAAGAAATAAATACCATGCAAAATATGGTAGGCAATTCCAAACAGACAGAGGTGGTCGAAAATGGAATTGTTTTACATGTTACACATATGAAAAGAGGAAGTGCTTTAATTGTGTGGTTGCAGCTTACCTCTTGACTTTTTTTGGCCATCGCCATCTCACATGCATCTTTGCAAGAGGGAATCCAATCTACAATGCCTTCAGCACCAAGCCTGATTCATCTTTGTAGGCAGGGGTCAAAGGTTTGCAAGTCGATGAGAAGAACAGAGCAAATGATATGGAGGAAAGGGGTAATAACTCCACCCCCAAAATTAACGCAGCTCGTGCCTGGCAGGAAACGGTACCCAGTTGCTCCACAGGCAATGCAGTGATGCTCCTGCTTTGGAATTTCTGGCCTCTTTCTTGAGCCTTAAGAACAAGCATAGTCGCCACTATTGTAAACAAGCATAGTGTCAGGATGACACGAAGCTAATTGTTGGTGAATGTCAACTCTCCTCTCACAGTCAGCTTTGCAAGCAGGATATTATGAGGTTTAATTGCTGCATGACTGGTAGTTTAAATATTGTTTGCTTAGATGTTTCAATAGAGGGAGAGAGGTTAGGTGAGACTCTCAAGCCAAGCACAATAAATCATTTCTGGATCCTGATTTTATTTTAGGGAGTGTCTGGCATTTTGCCTGTAGCCTATCATTAAGCCAAACTGCCCTCTTCCTTCTGAAGCATTCCCAGGACCTTCCCTTTTTTTTCCACCTCTCCTCTGAGTTTCTTCAGGCTCATTTCTGCCTGATATTTCCTTTAGAAGCAGAGGCTGCCTTTGTTCCTTTTCGTTTCATGGACTCATCCTCAGGATTTCTATTTATTTTCCTTTTCACTCCGTTTTATCTTTAGTAAAGGTTTCCCTCGCACATATGTGCTAGTCGTTCCCGACTCTAGGGGGCGGTGGTCATCTCCGTTTCAAAGCCGAAGAGCCAGCGCTGTCCGAAGACGTCTCCAGGGTCATGTGGCCGGCATGACTAAATGCCAAAGACGCACAGAACGCTGTTACCTTCCCACCAAAGGTGGTCCCTATTTTTCTACTTGCATTTTTTATGTGCTTTCGAACTGCTAGGTTGGCAGAAGCTGGGACAAGTAACGGGAGCTCACCCTATTACGCGGCACTAGGGATTTGAACCGCTGAACTGCCGACCTTTCGATCAACAAGCTCAACATCTTAGCCACTTTTCTCTTTACCAGCTGATGTTTTTCCTGAGACCAATCTCTATGGATATTTACAATTCTGCTATTTACAATTCTGCAATCTAGAATTCTATTTCGGGGAAGGTTGCTTTCTTACCATATACAGGTGGTCCTTGATTTACAACAGTTCATTTAGTGACCATTCAAAGTTACAACGGCACGAAAAAAGTGACTTATGTCCGTTTTTCACCCTTGCAACCGTTGCAACACCTCCATGGTCACATGTTCAAAATTCAGATGCTTGGCAACTGATTCGTATTTATGGCGGTTGCAGTGTCCCAGAATCATGGGATGACTTTTTGCGAACTTCTGACAAGCAAAGTCAATGGGGAAGCCAGATTCCCTTAACAACCGTTTTACTAATTGAACAACTGTAGTGATTCGCTTAACAACGGTGGCAAGAAAGGTTGCAAAATGGGGCAAAACTCACTTAACAAACATTTCACTTAGCAACAGAAATTTTGGGCTCAGTTGGGCTCAGTTGTGGTCATAACTCGAGGACTACCTGTATAATTATGATTCTACAAATAGTGAGGAAATGTAAATCAATGTTTTATCACATTTAACTTGATTATTCAGCATGTTTGGTTAATCTGTGCTTTACATTTGCAGCTGATTTGCATCGTGTAGCTTGAAAAATATTATAGAATACTTACAGTATATACATTCCAAGTGGTCAGTCTAAAGTTCTCAAAAATAGGATTCCTACAAATGTGCGTTTTCTGTAGATGGGGATGAAAAACCATGCACTGTTTGTCAGAATTCCAAGACATATTTTTGGCAAACCAGAAGAACAAGCGCACCAAGTGAGACTTTTTTCTCAACACTAAACAAATGATCTCTCCTTTGGCCTACCATAAAGTTGTTAAAAACTCAGAACTAATTTTACAGTTTTTTTTTTTATTTTTAATTTGATTTATATGCCGCCCTTCTCCGGAGACTCAGGGCGGCTTACAATGCGTTAAGCAGTTCATTTGGATCCAAACAACCTTCTGCTTGCTACGAGCACAGTTGTTGACTCTGTAACATAATATGCACAATCAGGTAACAGCTTTTGTATCTGAATGCCAAAGCAAAAGAGAAAAGAAATCACAAGCAGAGTTTTCTCTCTTGTTCCTTCCCTTCTCTATCTTCTTATTCCCATTGCTTAAATACAATACCTTTGGATAATTCCCGCTACTTGAACTGTCACAATTATTACACTTCAATTTTATTAGATTCTTGGTTTTTATTACATTCTTCAGATTCTTAATGTCCACCTGACATTATTCCACGTTTTCCCAAAGAATTTCTTTTCCTTTGACATCCTATCCCATTCTTTCCAAAGTAGAGTTTAGACTGGAGCACTATACATTGATAAGGCAAAAAAATACCCTCCATTAAAGTAAAAGCTACCATATATTTTCTTTTTACCAGTGTAAGGTATCAATTTTCTACCTGACTATCTTTCTAAAACCAAAGTGCCTCTCTAAAAGCTCTGGAATGTTGAACAAGCAGTACGTTCAGTTCTGACAGGTTTCGATTTGGAGGGGGGGAGAGACACGTGTGTTATTTTCATGTTTGTGTATGATTGTGTAGGTCAGGAATTTATCTTGATTCTAAGCATAGGTGGGGAAATTGAACTGATCCCAGGTAAACACAAATAGACAATGTTGATCAGATAGCATTGTAACCAAAGCATATCAGATGAGAGCTATGGCACTGTGATGTGTTTAACCTCAAGCAAACATGAAGCTTAAAGCAACATATAATTAGAAAGGAAAATATTTTCTCCTCTGTTCTCCCCACTAATTCCATCTTGCTACAGATACAAATCCAACCTGCAAAGCCAAGGCTGCATTATTCATTAGTTATGTTTCCTCCCTGTTCACTAAAACAATCCCTTCCAATTTAGGTCCAATCCTATAATAATAATCCTCCTGATGGGTTAATACCATGTTTTTACCTGGTTGTATTTCTATGTATCAGTAGCCTGCAATGACAACAACGTGCTTTAATCACAGCTAAAATTACTACGTACTCTTACAGCTTAAGTCTGTGGAAAAGTTTTTCTCAAACACTTTTTTGCCCATGGAATGTTTTACACTGTTGTAGAATAGCACAAATCAATAAGGAATCAGAATGCCTATCAGCCTATTTATTGATAATGGAAATATGGACTGGGATAGGGTGAGCTTATAAGGCAGAAATGGAAAAACAGAAAACTCACTCATAGATTGACTCCATTTTGAAGTTGGCCTATGCCCTTGCTCACATAAAATAATTGACAGGAGGCAGAGAGAAGGAGATCCAGGCTGGCAGCAGAGACTCTACCATAAAATTTTGTTGTATGGGCCTTTTTTTACCTAGGCCACTGTCCTACATTTTACCACCTATTTTCCTATGTTAGCCTTCATTTTGTGGAACTCTTCCCACTTCCAAAGATTCTTCTGTAAGGGAAATGATTATTGGATTGTTTAATGCCAAGCATTAAAAAGATTTAGCAAGATTTTGCTAGCATTCTCTTCAACACAACTGTAGCTCAGGTGAATGGTGAGCTGGACAAGCAGGTATCAGTCTTCCTCACATACCAAGAAAAAAAATCACAAGAAGGGCATTTTCAACATGCAGCTGTTTCTACTTACCTCCTCAAAAGCACGATGAAGTTGACCCACGAACAGTTTTCCTGTCAATCATCTTGAAGTTCTGAGCTGACCAATAAGAGAGTACAAAGAATATTATTCAATCAAAGCTCTGCTCCACCCCATATTGTTTTCTCACATCCAAGAAAAAACACCAGAAAATTCTGATTCTGCCTATTTTATTAAAGTCATCATTTTCTTTCTGCAATTCTTGCCTTTGAAAAACTGTTAAGATGTGAAAAGATTGCCCATACCAGCATTGTTATGTCTAAAGATAGATGCAGTGCCATAGACAGTCTTAATTGTTTCTATTGTTACTGATTGCTTAAATTAAAATCAAATACCATAAATATGATTTGGATTTTACAAATACAAATATCGAAGTATACTTCTTAATAATTTGCCTTCCTCAGAAAAAGCCTGAATCAAAGAAGGAAGGAGAATTTTCAGCCCCATAGCTGTTCAATCTCAGCAACAATCTTCCTAAACTTCTTGGCTAGATTTTTTTTTTACCAATGTCAGTTTAAGGTGCTTGCAGCCTTTCATCAACAGACTGGTAAATGAAAAGATGTTTATTAATCTGGCTGACACTGAGAGAGTGAGTACTCAGGAAAAATTATGTTCTCCAGGAATCTGGAGGTGCACAATGGCACTCCTTGAAACAGGCATCATATCTTTGTTTCTGTTTTTAAGCTCCCATCCTGATGAATTGACTTACAGGTTTGTTTAGTTTCCCTGCATAATGTGTGTTTGTTGCAGTCCTCTTCCTCCTCCTTTTCCTCTTCCTCCTCCTCTTCTTCTTTTCCTCCTCCTCCTCCTTCTCTTCTCCCTTTCAGAAATTCATGTGAGATGGAGTGAGAGAAGGGAGAGCATCATGTGACAGCTGGGTTTTACACCAGCCCCACTGATGTCAGAGAAGGGCACCCTTTGGTAATATGGAGACTCTGCCTATATTTTGACTCCCACAACATCTTTGAAACATAATTGTTTCTTTGAATAATAAATACATGTGAAGCCAAGATCTTCAAAAAAAAAAAAAAAACAGCAGCAGCTATACAATCTTCTTCCCATGTCACTTAACTGCCACAAGGTTGTAAAAAAAATTCAAACAGCAACAATTTGATTGTTATGATTTCTAAATACTTTTCAATGGAAAATCCATAAAGATAATGCAATCTAATTGGGAGATGACATAGGCCTGCATTATTGCAACCAGTCTGTCCAGAATCTGAAAGAGCAGAGAAACATTCCCAACTATGGCAACAACTTGCCACCCAAGGCAACTGCCAGACTATGAGCATACTAATCCACAAATCTTCAGTTGCAGTTTAATTTTATCCATCATTCATCTGTTTATACCCACAAGTGGGTCGGCGTATCAGTGATCACCAGAGCCCTCCAAGATTTTTTTTTTTTACCAAGGTTGATGGTGGGTTTAATACCAAGAGAAAGGAAGTAGATCAATGAGAAGATGAGCATCCACAAACCTTGACTGACTGAGAAGAAATTTTTTTTAAAAAAATCATTTTGGTCAATGACCAGCGTATAAGAAAATTAAATAGTAAAATACAATAAAGTATTTATGCAGCTGTGGATTAACTGTATGCTGCTTCCTTAGCATGACTGCCTCATTACTTAAGGCTGATTTGAATAGAACGATATTTAGCAAGAGCTGTTAATTTGTTTAGTGTTGCTCAACTTGTCTATACAAGGAGGATGTGTGACATATTTCTTCAATTTCCTTTCTAATCTAGTATTGGCTTCATATCCCAATCTGACAGATCTATGTGGGTTAATTTATGAAGCACATGGTTGATACTGGGCTGTGAGAGAGAAACTGTACTGAGTTTACAAGTCTGGCTGATATTAATGAAGCCTGAGACATGCTGTTCTTGATGAATTGTTAGTCTAGTCTAAAAAAGGAGGCTCTTGTATTGTAATCCTTCCTGCCAGCCTGAAGTATGATTCTATGAGTTGGCTTTCAGCTCATCTGAAGATAAATGGTATCCAGAACACCTGAATGCCATCCAGAAGCAATTATAGACACGGGCATATTTTCTAGCATAGTGTAATATCATGGACCCCATGTGTGTCACCATTCAAATTTTTCTTTAGTTCTCAGCATTATCCATTACTTTATTAATAGGTGTTTGAAATTAACAGAGTTGTATTGCAGAATACAGTTCAAATTAACAAGCATAATAACATCTGGAGAATTTAATACAACTTACAATGGTTCGTTTAATGACTGTTCGAAGTTACAACGGCCCTGAAAACAGTGATTTATGACCATTTTTCACACTTATGATCATTGCAGCATCCCCATGGTCACATGATTCTCTGTGGGGGCACCTACCCTCTGGAATCAGCTGCCCCCAGAGATAAGGAGAATCCAAGACCTCGGTGCCTTCCGCCGTGCCCTTAAAACTTTCTTTTTTCAGCAAGCCGGGCTGGCTTAATATATTTTTAAATATTTTTAATTGGTTTGTTATTTTAAATTGGGGCCAAATTAATATATATCTTTTTAATTGTTTTTAATGTTTGTATTGTATGTTTTTTATCTGGCTGTACACCGCCCTGAGTCCTTCGGGAGAAGGTGCGGTATATAAATTCGAAATAAAATAAAAATAAAATAAAATGATTCACATTCGGATGCTTGACAACTGACTCACATTTATGACACTTGCAGTGTCCCGGGGTCACCTTCTGACAAGCAGTGTCAATGGGGAAACTAGATTCACTTATAACCGTGTTACTAATTTAACAACTGCAGTGATTCACTTAACAAGTGTGGCAAGAAAAGTTGTAAAATGGGGCAAAATTCATTGAAGAAATTTCTCACTTAGCAACATAAATTTGGGGCTCAATTGTGGTTGGACGTTGAGAACTACCTGCATTATTAAATGACCAAACTTTTAAAAACACATTAGTGTGTTCTGTATATAGTCTTCAATAGAATATTCTTCAATATCTGAGAACTAAGGGTCTGAGAACTAAGGGTCTATAGACAAGCAGATCTCCCAATATAATTTCTTTTTTCAGTATTCATAATTATATTTATTAATCTCATACTTGTTTTATATTCCTTAAGTGGAATCACATAGCACAACACATAAATTCACAGTTGGCCACTACACGGCACTTGGGACTTGTTCATTATCGTCTGATTTCTGAAATTAATACTCACACTGCTACATCCACTATGCTTTGTACATTTAAATGAATCTGTTTTCAACCATGGAAATGTTAATCTGACCATTAGGACAAGCAGAGAAGTGGGAACTGAGATGGCGAGCAGCAAGCGTTTATCAGTTGACTGATAGGGTGTGGAAAATCAGGGTTGAGAAGGCAAGATAGTGCTCCTCAACTGTTGATTATTCAGGAAGACAGAGCGGAGGTGGCAAGTAGGTTCTTGATAGCTTTCAGCTACTGTGGAATTCAGGCAGTGATTTCTTAGTTTCTGAGGTTGTTAGCTCTCTGAGAGTCGTTGAGGCCACTTGGGGATTTATTTGTATCCTCAGAGTCACCTGAATCAGAGTGCAAATCAGTGTGGGATCTTCTTGGAACTGCTGAAAAGGCTGCATTGTAGACAGGAGATATCCCTCCCCCTCTGTTGAGAGAGGGCTGTTTAATTTCAATATAGACAGCCTCTTTGACCCCTTTCAAACCAGTGGCCCTCACTGTCCAGAATGTGGACTTTGCTGTCTTCAAAAGAGCAACTGTCTGAGAGCTAATGATGGACCTTTGGAGTGCTTTACGACCAAATGACTGCAAAGAATATAAATCCTTCCAACCCCCACCATTCAGTCAGAACTGAAGAAGCTTCTTGGATGAGAAGCAAAACCCAAGAAAATCCTGTTGCCTTTTTGAAAAGCACCTTCGTGACAGGAAAAGTAGTAAAATCTTTCTTTCTTTCTCTCCCTCCCTCCCTTTCTTCCCCATTTCAGTTGGCAAGGTGATCTGCCAATCACTAGATAAATATGGCCTGAACAGAACATCAAATCTTCAGCGTAACCAAAGGAAAGAAAAAGTTTGAAATTTAGAAAGCAACTTCATTTTCAAGCAACTTTCATTTTATTTGAAGGAGGAGAGAGAGAGAGAGAGAGAGAGAGAGAGAGAGAGAGAGAGAGAGAGAGAGAGAGAGAGAGAGAGAGAGAGAGAGAGTGTTTAGGTCTGAAGTGTGGAAAAGCTTGTCAGCTATTTAAGTTCCACTCAGAATTTGACTTGATATTTCCACTATTTGAGATGAGTCTGCATAAAATTAAGAACTTAAAAAACAGTCGGTTTTTTTAAAGTTGTTTTGTGTTGCTTAGGGCAAATGACTCAAGTACGTTCTTAAAGTGACAACAACTGCAGCAAGCTTTATTCAAGAAGTATAAACAAAATACAAATAAATTGCACCTGGAACTAAGGTGTACTCAAAGCTATTGTGTTCTCACTTGTGTTATTGTTTATGTCTTGATAAGAAGGCCAGCTTTCAAAAACATTGTCATTATTACTATAAGAATAGAAAATGTACAAATCACTTCTGGATGACAACTTAATGTGCTGCAGGTTTTGTTTTGTTTTTTTTCCCTTTTGGGATCAAGTATCTAGAGCAGGGGTGTCAAACTCAATTTCATTGAGGGCCGCATCAGGGTTGTGTTTGACCTCAGGGGTGCAGGGGGCATGGCCATGAGGCGTGGCAAGATTCATGTCACTCGTTTCGGGGGCACATATGGTGGCCCAGGCAGGGCTGTGGGATCCACCCGCAGCCCTCTGCAAGTGAAAACGGAGTTTCAGGGTTGACATTGAGAAAGCCACCCGTGGCCCTCCCGAGCTCAGTTTTCACTGGCAGAGGCACCGCGGGCCGGTCCTTTGCTGTTTCCAGGGCAACCCCGCGGGCCAGATCTAAGCACCCCGTGGGCTGATCTGACCCATGGGCCTTGAGTTTGACACTTCTGATCTAGAATATGCATACTTCAATTTATGAGTGTATGGAATAGAATAGATCAGCTCCCACCCCCACCCCAGGATGTGTTTAGATGTTACAACATTTTACCTCACTCCTATAGTTTCTGGTGCAAAGAGGAGTATGTGTTTTGATTGCTACTTTCCATATAAAAAAGTTACAAGTATTGAAAAGGAAAATCTGGTACAGAATGGCCATTGATCCACCTCTGAGGAGAGCTAAGTCATTTAAAAACCTGACCCTGACTCTCAGATGGAGGATAGGATAGCCTCTGGCAGTTTTTCAGAAGGGTGCTTTTTTTCCTTCTCATTCACCTAATAAAACCTTTGTGGAAAAGCTAACTCTGCTGCAAGGTCTTAATGAAATTCCAAAGGGAATGTGAAGGATTAAGAGCAAGACCACAGCACATATACAATAATCAAAGCGATGGTTTTCCCAGTAGTAATGTATGGCTGTGAGAGTTGGACTTCAAGGAAGGCTGACTGCCGAAGAATTGATATTTTCAAATTGAGGTATTGGAGAAGACTTTTGAGAGTCTTGGAATGCAAGGAGATCAAATCAGTCAATCCTAAAAGAAATGAACCCTGTTTGTTCTTTGGAAGGGCAGATGCTGAAGCTGAAGCTCAAATACTCTGACCACCAAATGAGAAGAGAGGACAAGACCCTGATGCTGGGATAGATTGAAGCAAAAGGAGAAGGGGTTAGGTAGTGTCATCAATGCAGTAGGCATGAGTTTGGGCAGACTATGTGAAACAGTGGAGGATCTGGGGTGAAGCCTGGCATGCTGTGGTCCAGAGGGGGTCACAAAATATCAGACACGACAACCAGAATAACAATTACACAGCCTCACCTGCTCATTTCCCATTCTGCTCCGGGCTCTTCTGGAAGCCGGCTTCCGAAATTGCAGCTTGGTTTAACAACAGGGCTGGGTTGGTGTTCACTCCAGTTTATGGCCACTACAGGCCATAATTGGTCTTTCTCTGGTTTCTTGCCTTTCATATCTGCTGGTTCTAAGTAAATCAGTATACCAATGCTTGCTTTTTCCTTTGTTGTTGTTGTTGTTGTTGTTGTTGTTAGTTGTGACGTCGTGTCCGACCCATCGCGACCCCATGGACAAAGTTCCTCCAGGCCTTCCAATCCTCTACCATCCTCTGGAGTCCATTTAAGATCATGCCTACTGCTTCAGTGACTCCATCCAACAACTTTGTTCTCTGTCATCCTGTTTTTGCCCTCAATCTTTCCCAACATTAGGCTCTTCTCCAGTCAGTCCTTCCTTCTCATTAGGTGGCTTTTTCCTTTAAGGGACTGTTCTATTCCTCAATAGTCCTTATACTTTTTCTTTTTCAGACCTTTGTACATACAGATGCCTTCATAAACCCTTCCCAAGGGAACACAGATACATGCCCTTTCTTTCTCCTCTGCCCCTTTATTGTGCCATCATTGCTTTGATGCTGTAATGATTTAAAGCAAAGGAAATCAGGTGCTCCTTCATTCCTGTGTTCCACTGTAAGCCATGGAAACTTTTTAGCAAAGAGAAACTGATGGTTCAGTTTCATGGAAGCTGCTAAGCAACATTAATTTAAACCTTTTAATTTCATTCCAATACGCCTACATCGCAACTTACAGGTTTAAAAAAAAAGGGGGAAGTGGAAAGGAGGAAAGAGAAAGGGAGAGGGGAAAGGGAGAAAAAGGGGGAGAAGGAGAAAGAGAGGGAAAGGAAAAGGAAAGGGGTGGGGAAAAGAAAAGAGACAGGGACAGGGACCAGGGAAGGATATTTTCAGTTGTGTGTGCCCAGAGTGGGGAAAAGGGGGAACATGCTTTTATGTCAGATAAATCAAAAGGTAGACTCCCAGAGATGTAAGGATGAATGGAATGAAAAAACTGCAGAGAAATTGGGAAAATACAGGCAAAAAAAAAAAAAGACTTAACAGTTGTTGCATCAACCACAAGGTAAGTTTAAAAATGGAACTGCTGACCCGCAGAGAACATTGTGTCTCAGGAGTTCGAATGACATGACTGCCCAGGACAATGATCAACTACTAGAGAAATGGAGACATGCCAGCGATCAGTCATAGCTGAAGCTTCAGTTAGAATGGCATGAAGAACTTCAGACTACCTACAGTATTTTGAAGAGCTTAAGACACAACAGGCTGGAAAGCAACAGTTTTGAATGAAAACTTGAAAAGACAGGTATGGGGTACAATTGCAATGAATTGGGAGTGTATAACAGAATATGTTATCTATTCCTCCAGTAAGGAATCGGTGGCTGGTTGATACTGGCCTTGGGACAAACAGAAAGTATGAATCTAATCTGGTTCATTTTGGACCATTTCAAGAAAAAGTCATTTCAGTTTGGAAGAGGCAGATGTCTCTAAAGTGGCCTATGTTGTGGTATTAAGATTTTACCCAAAATAGATGCACAATTAATGCTGCTGAAGTCTTCCTTCTTTATTCTGCTTTCTGGATAAGAGAGAGCATTATTTGTTTAACTAGGGAAATTGTTACTAGAGTTTGCCTAGAAGACCAATAACTATGCAATTCCTTTTATTATCTCCAACCAATCTGCAACGCCACTGCTCTGAGAGTTGCATTGGTTGCCAGTCTGCTTCCAGGTGCAATTCAAGGTGTTGGAGGTTACCTTTAAAGCCCTTCATGGCATGGGTCCGGGTTACTTGAGGGACCATCTCACTCCAGTGGAATTGGTCCGTACCACTCGTGCCAACAGAGGATACTTGCTACGGGTCCCATCAGCCCCATTATTCTGATTGGTGGAGTCCAGGAGGATGGCCTTCTCTGCTGTTGCTCCTGCCCTCTGGAACATCCTGGCCCCCGATGTGAGGTTGGCCCCAACCCTCCTATCTTTTCATCAGGGCATAAAGATGTGGCTTTACCAGTTGGCTTGGGGCCCCAGTGTGGGAACAGCACAATGGAGCTGATTGATTGAGTAATAACAGATCCCACCTCCACCTCTCCCCATGTGCCTTTGGTTTTAATGTTTGATTTTAATTGTTTATGTTTTAATTGTATATATAACTCTTAAGTCCCCCAGAGTTATTCTATGGTAAGATGGGCAGCCAATATCTTTTATAAATAAATAAATAAACAAACTAAAACCTCTCATTATAGTACAGAAACTTCTGAGTTCTCCAGAATTATTCAGATTACATATTCAGTAAAACTCCAGTGGGTTATAACTGGAAGAGGTTTCAGGGAAAGGCCCTAAAATGCTGGTGTACTTTGTATCATATTAAGATGGAATGTGTGGAGGTGGTATACAACCTTAATTAAATGAGTTACATCTAAGATTGCATAATGCCTCCTGGATAGAGGGAATGCCTTTAGCACTATGCAATAAATACGTTTGGTAATTCAGATAAAAATCAATGAATTATTACATTATGCAAAGCTTGGCAGATCAGAACATTTCGATATAAAGGAAATCTGGGATGGATTTCTTCTCCATTCCTATCAAAACAAACAGACGAACAGATTTCCTTACGTACCTTTCTGCCCCCATCCACAGCCTTAAATAAATAAAAACAGTGATAAAAAGTATTTGTGAAAGCATGTCAAGATATTTGGGATGGGAGAAAGGAAATGGCATTATTGTTGTTTATGAGAATGGCCAGAGCAAATTATGGACAGTCGTAAAAATACAATCCCTCATAATCACATCAGAATCCTGAAATGGAATCCTTGAGCAATGAGTTGAAAAAAACAACTTAATATCCATAAAGCCTGAGGTTGCAGTGAGTTCTGTGTTGATGCAGCAAGTCAATCTATTATTTAAGAAACCAGCTGCTTAGCTGTTTACTACCACCCTTATTTGAAATAATTATCAAATGCAGAGCAGTAATGGGTAGGGATTTATTTAGAACATAACCTTGATCAATGCTTTGCATGAATGAAAAAAAGCATCCAAAGGGATTTCATGATGATGTAAGGAATTCTTCTTTATATCTGTCCACATTACTTCAGTATAACAAATCAGAAAATACTGAACTCCATACCCAGAAATGCTTAATATGGCAAACTTATACAATGTGGGGTAAATATAGAATATTTCCAACTATTCCTTTAGCCAATGCCAAACAAACCTAGACAATTTATCTCTAACCTTGCAATGTGCAAGTCTTGATATTATCTCACACACCTCTTTTGCATTTTGCAGTTCTTGTACCTCAAAGCAACTACAGTAAAGGCTGTACTATGCAAGAAAGTGCAAAATTTTTTAAAATACTACAATATAATCAAAGCAATATAGAACAGCAGGCTGTGACTTTCCTATATAGGTCCATAGGAATTTTGTAGCAAGTTAAGAACAGATAGATTAGTGACAATGAAATAAAATAGCAAAATTCCTACATTGCAAATGAATTATGTTTTGCAAAATTACAGGAAAGGAAAGTTTTGCAATATTATGGGGAGGGAATAGGAAAGCAAGGAGAGCATTGTCCAGAACCGAAAGGATGACTGCCCTTTGGGAAATATATGTCTGAGTTTCATTGACTTAATAGGGTTCCATCTCAGGATTCTAAACCCAGTGAGGGTGAACCTATGACATGTATGTCAAAGATGACACATCACAAGATTTTGGGTAACACACTAGTGTTCAACAAGACTCAAAAACAACTATTCTCAAAAGCACTCCACATTCTCACGCAATTTTGTAGACTGCAGAGGCCACGTGAGAAACGGATGTGTTCTCATGCAGCTTCTGAAAGTCACATAAGAGGACACGATCCCACACAGATTCCAGGGCATCCAAAAATTTCACAAAAACAAGGCACATTTTGGCATAATTTTTGGAGGCTGCAGAAGAGCTGCTTCAAGAACAATGGCCTTGGGTGACCTTGAGCAGCTTTGGGTAGGCTGCAGGGGCCTGTCAACAGAAACAGGACACTGCCTGAAGGTAAGTGGTGTGAGACAGTTCCTGGAAAGCACTGGGATGCAGGGGCAATTGCATCATTCCCCAAGACTTGCACACCTTGGGGAATGGCATGAGATGGCCTTTTTGAGTGGCAAGGGTGGCACTGGCTCTGAAGTCAAGGCCCAAACCTCTATTTTAGGCCAGCCTCAGCACTGCCATCAAGTGCCACTGTCCAGGATGACTAGATAGGGAGAAGAGAGAGAGACAGAGATGCCAACATAGGCATTTTTGGAATTTTTGACACACCCAGAAGGTTTGCTATCACTGCCCTAAAACAAACCACAGCCATCTCCTGAAAGCCTAGAATGAAATAACTGAACAGGACAGCAACCAGCTGCTGGAGAGGAAGGACTTTCTGGACACTGCAGTCAATGGAGCTGGGGCTGCTTTAGAATTGGAATGAGGCCTCCGCTCTGAAGGGCATAAGACAGCTCAGGTTAGGAAACAGCTGTTTTGAATTGAATCTGGAAATCAAAGGAATGGGGTAAAACTGGAAATCATGGGGTGCTTTTACAAAAGAGCAGGAGTGAGAGGATGACATCTTCTGATTTTGCCCTCAGAAACCAGTGAGTGGCCTGTAATGGTCATGGGCCAAGGAGAAAGTGAAATCTCTTCTCACTCACAATATTTTTTTTTAAAGGATAGAATGCTATATATGGCACTTAAAGAAATGTTTTAAGTTTTCAAAGAATTTGAAAGCAGAGAGGACCTATGGAAAGCTACAAAGAACCAATACTGGACAGGATCAACGGAGGAGCTGACACCTGGCTCTGACGAAAGCTGGGAACTATGGAAATTGTTGAATAGACCGTGCATGGGTACTACAAAATCCAGAGACATTGAACAATTGGGGCTATCCGGTGGTTTCTGCCCTTTACAATTGTGGTAAAATGCAGACAACACAGCCTTTATGCCCTGATCAATGCACACTTGAGGACCTCATGGCAGGGCAACAGAACACCATTAATGTTGCTAGTTTCTGGGCAACATCTGTTTAATCTGTATATATCTGAATCTTGTATTTTATATTTTAAATGTTATATCATATAGCAGTGATGGCTAACCTTTTTGCCGTCGCATGCCAAAAGCGGGGGTCGCATGGGAGTTCTGTGCACGCATGCCCACAACCATAATTCACTGCCCCCCAAACCCAGCACCCCATGTGCATGCGTGAGTGACTCCCACACACACTCCCCCACGCATGCACACATGACTCCCATGAGCCCCGTTTTGGGCATAGCAGGCCTCCCTGAAGCCTTTGGAGGCTGGAAACGGCCTGTTTCCAGACTTCCAATGGGCCCGGAAGGTCCGTTATTTGCTCCAGAGGCTTTCCTGGAACCTGGGGAGGGCAAAAATGGCCTCCCACACACATCCCAGGAGGCCCTCCAGAGGCCGAAAATGCCCTCTCAGAGCCTCCGTGCAAGCCCTGTACTTATCTGGCATCCAAAATGGGCCATGTGGAGACTCCTGAGAG